TTGAAAAGAGGCTCTCTAAAAACAGTTTGGCACAGGTTTTGAACTCTGACACCGAACTTAATCACTCCTTATTTCTTATGCTTCTTATCCATAATTTTTTTCAGAATCGTTTCTCTATTGTTTTTCGAATAAGATACCTAGGCGTTATCCAACCGAGTTTGAGAAGAAACTGATACACTGTTTGGAGAAACTGTTTGATCTGACATGGAATATTCTCTTATTAAACGAACGTACTCCTTTTTGCCCTACTTCCGCCAGGTGTTTTTTTTTTTTTTTTTGCCCTCCCTTATCAGAATTCAGCTACAAATCGGACTAATATTTCCAACTTCTAGATAAGCTCTTTAAAAAAAATAGCTTAAAGCTGGAGGTCTAGTGTTTAAATGCCAGCCGAATTAAAATTAAATGTTAAAGGTAGAAACCTCGATACAGGTACATGAAATTCTTAAGTTTGTGCTCTTAAGTAAGACGAATCAGGCGCATCACGCAGTAAAGGAGCGGAATCTGTGTGTTACTCTCTTCCCCACCCATTTCCGTTTATCACCTTTCCAGTTAAACACCGAAGTTACGGTGGTGTGTACATTGCCCCAGAAAAATCTGTTTGGCTCGTTGCCAGTCCCCAATTCCTGCTACATCATTGATGCCTATATGAAGCCTGCTGAGATACTGGGTAACTGAAGAGGAGGTGTAGGTGAAAGTTTATAGAGAATCTGCGGAGGAAGGGATAAGGATCAGTATAAGAAATGTTGAAGGGCGGAGGAAGTTCTACACTTTAGAGCAACTGTGGAAATTTATATCGCAAAAAATGTGACATGCGAGTTTAGAAGAATGGGCGGTGCAAAACGCGTTTTCTTGTTGAGCTATAGGTCGGGAGAAAGGAGTTACATCCAAATAAACAGATCAAGTTAAAAAGCCAGGTGGTTTAGATTCAAGATGAGAGTGCGCGTTTTCTGGCGTGGAGAACAAGCTGTGTGATCTTACGTAGTTTCATAAAACGAGAGTTATTAGTTGTTTGAGTGGGTATAGTGGAATCCTCTGGTTTATCGATACGCGTTACATGTGTATACTGCCTACCAATTTTTGCAGTTTTTTTCTAGGCGATTTTGTCAAAATAGTAACAGTAATCATAAGGTCGTCGTCAGTCTTTCATGAATGGCTATTGTCCAACAAATTTAACAGCTTTATTCTACGTGAAAACTTCGATTTGTACTTGATCGTTGAAGTCATG